GCTTTTGTTTTTTTGAATGTCCAGAGGACCAGATTGAACTTTTTTGGGTTTGTATATTATAGTTTGATTAGAGCATATTTACAACAACCACCGGTTCAAAACAATGGAGGAGTGAATTTTAAACTCTCATCTGTCTCTTTCAGCTGTCGGATATTGAGAAGTGGATGAGGAGAGATAGAGATCAGCATGCGCTGCAGCTGGATGTGCTCTTTGTAAAGAAAACAACACTCTGGGAAGTTGGGAGAAAACTTACTTGGGCTTTGTCTCAGCATCTGTGACTTGGCGAATGAAGACGGCGTCCTCAGGATGGCTAATGTCCCCTTTCTCATGCATGTAGGAGGAGGCGATAGCAAGCATCGTGCCGTCGTTACTGAAAGCCAGCGATGCGATGCTGGTCGGATACCGGTGGAACTGACACAGACGCTTCTTGTTAAATGGATCCCAGATATTCACAAAGCCATCTGAGCCACCTGGCAAAAGGAGAGGCTCATGGTCAGTCAACAGCTTTAAACCGTGTTTCTGCTGCGATACAGACACTTATTAATGGATTTACACAAGAAGTCCTGACAGCTCTGTGACAAAGGTCACACTTGATTAAAGAAACTAAATATTAAAAAAATCTGCTTTTCTCAAGCAGTAGCTAAATTGTACCTGTGGCAAAGGTGTTGTGAACACCGTGAAATGAAATGGCATTGACGGGGTAGACGTGCTCAATTCCATCCTCTTTCAGCCGGTGGCACTTGAAGGCATATTTCTTCTTCTGAACCTCCTGGCTGGGATCCAGGTACTCCACAGCTACACGTCCTTCAATTGAACTCAAGACATAGCCCTAAAGCCACATATGAGGTTACTATCAAACTTCCTCATTAAAAATTTGATCTGTCTGGTTTAATGCAGCCTGCATTTTATTTTTAAATACAAACGTACCTGCTTGTTAGGAAAGGCTCTAATGCAGCGAGTCTGATACTTTAGACTGGACTCCCTTCTTTGCTGCACGTAGCCCATGTTTCTCAAATCCCACACCAAGACTCGTCTTCCTGCTGTGCCAACAATCAGTCTATCTCCAGCCACAGAGAGTGTATACACCTTTGACAAAAATACAAGAGGTTTACTTAGCAATACTCAATTTATTTTTAAATAAAACGCACCTGAAAGAAAAATAATAATATTGACAGTAAAATTCCAGCCTCCTGAGTGCCTTGCGAAAGTATTCAGCCCCCTTGAACTTTGACCTTTTGCCACATTTCAGGCTTCAAATATAAAGAAATAAAATTTTATTTTTTTGTGAAGAATCAACAAATATATATATATATAGATTACAAAAGGTAATCAAGTATAGTTTGTCTAGACTGCTCGTCATTACTTTACTTAGAAAAAGGCAATGATATTCAAATATTCTGTTTTAGTAAAATGAGCAACTTCAAAAGAACTGAACCGTTTTTGTTCACTGGCACACACCAAGTTGTTTCCTAATGGTGCTTAACCAGTAAGGGTACTTTTTCAACACACCAACCAACCACTCCCCACTCTCACCAGAACACAGCCTCTTCCTCATCCAAGCATTTTTCTGTCATCAGCTTATTATGAAAAATGTATAAAGTGGAAACTATGGTCATGGGTAAGCTCAGTTTACAGCCATAATATGTGTGTTGATCCACTCCATCAGTGAAAATGAAGAAAAAAAGATTGACGGCTAACAGGATTAGCATATGTCAAAAGATTTCAAAGAAACATCTAATTACTGCTGACAAATTTGAAGAATGCTTATGCTTAAAATGCCAATCCTACCTCTATTAAAAACTGATTATATTATAGAAACATGGTTATAAATTAGTCTGCATTTTTATACAATTTTAATAGTTGTATTTCAATTCATTTATATAGCACAAAGTCACAACAGAAGTTACCTCAGGGCACTGAACAGAAACATTCATATATTTAAAAAAAAAAAATCAATTAGCAACATTATTTATCTAAGGTATGTAGCTTTGAGTTATTTTCATTTTTAATGGTTTCTTGTGTTCAGTATGATCTTTTTACTAACTTACTAGTTGTTCTGTGTGCAACACTTTGACCAACAGCAATTGTTTTTAAAATGTGCTTAATAAAAAAAAAAAAAAAAAAAGGATTTTCATTAATATATATTTGATTCTGCTACCTTGTCAGGCTGAGTAAAGGTACCAGCATTGCAGGGTGTTCGTGGGTCCCACAGTCGCACAGATCTGTCCCAGCTGCCGGTTACGATGACGTTAACTTCTGGGCAGTACTCCACACAACGAATGGGGGCATCATGTGTTCCAACTATTGTATCTGTTCCAAAACAAAAAATAAAATAAAAAAATCAACAGACATTCCTGTGTGCATGCAAAAGTTTTATCTGAGTAGATTAGAGACATACCTTGGTCTGTGTTTAAATCATGTGTCTTTAACTGTGCATCCAAACCTCCACTCCAGGAATGTGTTGGATCCTGCAAATAAAATGTTAAATTATCTGCATAGCTAAAACTTAAAATTAGGGTGTGAAAACTTGTCACCTAAACAAACATGTGTGACCTACATAAAAAGCACAGTCAAGAACTGGAGCTGTGTGCTGGTATTTCATCCGCATGGTGTTTCCCCCAACATCATAAAGGCGAACGGTGCAGTCCCAAGAGGAGACCAGGAGGTACTGGGAATTGGTGGGACTGAACTTGACAGCGGAAATGCCTTCCTCTGGTCCCTGGTTAAGTTTATATTCATTAGAGCCCGTCATCTGAAGAAAAAGAAACATAAAATCATACTTAGCTTAAGTTTATTTTGTCAAAAATCAATCTGATCTTATGTACAAAGCTTGACTGCAAATAATTTGCATAATCACTCAAATAATTTACATTATTAAGAGCAAATATTACATCTAAAAGGTCTTGATATTAGAACAAAATACATAGTAATAAGGTCAAAGAATTATAATACACGCTAAGACAAACATTTGAAATAAATACAAACTTTGGATTTTATTTACAGAAAAAGATCAATAACAGAAAATCTAACAAAGTTAAGTCTGGTCCTCTGAACCGATTCTTCTTCTTTGTTGAAATGTTTAGTCTATTATCAAAAATACTTCTTCAGTCTGAGGAGCCACAACAAAGTCAGTCTTATAAATATAGCAACTTCTCATAGTGGATCAACCAGTTTGCTGCGGACAGCCAGAACTAGATAGTCACATGTAAAAGGAGGACCATCAGCCTAACAGTAGATCGTTGGAGCCCTAACAATTGGTTAGTGCTCTGATGGCTGCTTGTTATTCATAGAGCGCTGAGTGATACTTACAATAACAACATTGTAAGAGGGTGACAGTTTAACACAAAGACCAGACCCTCGCCCCTGTTTAACAATAGACGGGTTCTCATAAGGCCAGGACTCTGCGGTCTACATTCATTTGCAGGCCAGTGGTCACTCTTTCAAGGATGAAGATGTGCACATTCTTGATAGAGAGAAACGCTGGTTTGAGAAAGGAGTAAAGTAAGCCATCTTTGTGAACATAACCATCGTTAAACGGGGCGGGGGTCTCCGTGTTCAACTATCACCCCTCTTACAACTGTTTGAAAGAGAGTAAAAGAAGTATCCTGATGCATGCTCAATAATCCAGGTAGAAAAATCTAAAAAAGTTAAATCTGGTCCTCTGGACATTCAAAAAAAACAAAACAAAGCAAAACAACAACAAAAAAATGTAGAAACGTTTCGTCTCTCATCCGAGAGACTTCCTCAGTCTGAGGTGCTGTATTCAGCTCAGTCTCTTAAATAGCACCTTCTCAGAGTGGATCAACCAGTTTTGCTGCTGACAACCAAAACCAGCTGATCACATGCTCAAGAAGGACCATCAGCCTAACAATGGATCATTAGCACACTGGTGGCTGTGTACTACTCACAGAGGGCTGAGTGATACTAGCAATCACAGCATTGTAAGAGGGGGACAGTTGAACCCGGAGGCCTCCACCCCTGTTTAACGATGGACGATTTCTTTTCACAAAGATGGCCTCCTTTACTCCTCTCTCAAACCATCGTTCCTCTCTAGGGATGAAGATGTGCACATAGCAAGCAGCCATCAGGGCACTAATGATCAGTCGTTATGCTGATGGTCCTTCTTTTTCATGTGAACAACTAGTTTTGGCTGTCACCAGCAAACTGGTTGGTCCACTATGTGAAGGTGCTATTTATAAGACTAAATTTATTTGCAGCGCCTCAGACTGTTGGAAGTCTTTTGGATAAAAGACAAAATGTTTCAACAAGAACAATCTGTCCAGGGGACGTGACTTAACTTTCTTAGATTTATCTACAGTAATTGGATTGTTGAGCATGCATCAGGACACTCTTACAATGCTGTTATTGTAAGTATTACACACTCTGTGAATAACAAGCGGCCATCAGGGCTCTAACAATCAATTGCTAGGGTGACGGTTCTCCTTTTACATGTGAATAGCTAGTTCTGGCTGTCACCAGCGAACTGGTTGATAGACTGTGAAGGTGCTATTTATAAGACTGAGTTTGTTGCAGCGCCTCAAAGTGAAGACGTCTTTTGGATTAAAGATAAAACGTTTCAACAAAGAAGAATCTGTCCAGAGGAACCTTGTTGGATTTTTCTACCTGGATTATTGAGCATGCATGAGGACAATGAATAACAAAAAAGGCAGTTTGCAGAAATTGCAGCTAAATAATGGCAGCCAAACGTGTTTTGTTTTTTTTACACTTGGTGACTATAAACATTGACAGAAAATGTGACAAGGTTTTCCAGCTACAGTTATGTAAGACAGTACCTTCTTTAAATTATGACTGAATGTTATGATAAAGATTTTTTATTTTTAACTTGGGAATAGCCAACACGTACGAATTGATTTGGAAAGAACAGCCTCGAAAGAGTTCAATCGTATTTGCTCGTGGAAACTTTGCTTCACTATGAGAATTTAAAACAAGAAAAAGAACAATGATTGTTCAGTCGAATCCAGATATTACACCGAGCCCAGTTCTGCTGCCACACCACTGTTAGCTAGCTAACGCTTAGCATGATAAAACGTCTCAAGTTTTAGGATTAGCCGTTTCACTTTACTTACCGCCTTTGTTTCACGTCGTCTGACCTTGAACGTGTGTGATAACGTCACAATGCCAAATATTATTCCTCGCAATGAAATAAGTAGTACAACGCGTGGAAAGAGCTAAAAGCCAAGGAGCTTGCTTGTAGCTAGCTTCTTCTCGCGTCAGCGCGGCCGCTGTCACCCGAAAAGACGCTGATTGGCTGGAATGAAAGTTCGAATTCGCGCCTGTGATTTCATTGGTTGATTCTTTACCTCTTCGTATACTTCCGTTGTCGCAACATAAACCACGTGACATAGGTCTGTTTTTGACGGTTTTTTTTCCCTTCCTCTGCACGCGTTTCATTCAAGATCCTTGAAACGATAGTTTAATGAAATTATTTTATTGTGGAGTTGAGACGCAGTATCTGCAGTGTAAAAACAGTTTGAGTTTAAGCTTGATCAAATACAGAGTTAGCGCTACAAGCTGGCGCTAGATTTGCCGTAATTTCCTGCACATTAATGACTTTATAGTTTGCCATATTGCCTATTGTTGTAAGCTATTTGTGGCTTGAAATAAACTACAAAAATACCAAAAATGGTGCACAAATTAGACAAATCAAACAAAGTAAACGAAATAATAAAATTGGTTGGACAAGACATTAGAGATCACAAAAAAATATTTAAATAAATGCCAATGAAGGCGATGTTTTTTTCTTCTTTAAATTTATGTTGGGAATATATTTTTTTATTTTTAAAAAACATTTATAAGTTGTTGATTTACAGTGATTTTTATTGTTGTATAAAGGCCAGTTTGAATGATTGTGGAGCAGTTATTTCTGTGCTGCAAACATTACCAAACCAAAAAATAACTTAAATAAACAATTTATTTTGTCTGGGATACTTCACCATGAAGGCGACATTAATTTTGGAATGATAGAAAATCATATAATGGCTATACACACACACACACACACACAAAACTCGCAATTAAAACATATCTTTTTTTTTTGTCTCGCTTGAAAACAACTGCGCATCGGAAAATAATTACCTGTGTTACCTGTTTTTTGGGATATTTTTTCACATGATTGTCCTCACCATTACAAACATATTTTTACAGGCAATAAAAAAAAAAAGCCGGTAACACGATGTAACAATATTGCACAATATTTGAAAATACCCCCAAAAAAATAAAAAAAAATTAAAATTCCACATTTTCAGATACAAACACTGACACAAACCTCGGAAAATACAAACAGACACTCCCTCCCCGCTCGAAACATGTTCATTTTTCTTACAATTAAACACATTAAAGTATATGTACATTTTCAATAATAACAACAATAATAATAATACCTAAAATATTCCTTGAATCTACAAAATATACAAAATTTAAAGTCATTTTTTGATTTGCGCTCATTTAAAAACGTGCAGATTTGGACCCATCCTTGTTAAACTGGCCTCAGCAGGGGGGCTGAATGGGAGTAGTACATGTGATGGGGAAACGCCAGCAGTGAGCCGCTACTCGGTGAGTTTGTACCGGGGCCCCCGCTCGATTCTGAGGCCCCGCTCTCGTGGTAAAGTATGGGAACCCGCACAATCCTCTGCGCCGCCGCGTGGCTCATGTTGGCCGCCTCCAGCTCGGCGGCCAGCTGCCGCTTCCACTTATTCCTCCGGTTCTGGAACCAGATCTTCACCTGCGTCTCGGTCAGGTGCAGGGACGCGGCCAGGCCGGCGCGCTCCGAGCTGCTCAGGTAGCGCTTAATGTCGAAGGTGGACTCTAACTGGAACACCTGGCTCCTGGAGAACACCGTGCGCGTCTTCTTCTTCCGGCAGGGCTTCTTGTCCGGGTCCAGGTCGTCCGCTTTTCTCCTCCAGTCCTCCTCCGGGTCGGTTTCTTTCTTTGACTCCTCCGCGTCGCTCTCATCCAGGGCCAGGTCGTCGTCTGCGCTTTCCTCTTTGGCATCTTGGTCACTTTTTTGGAGATTCGGGGAGCGCCTGTCCGGTGCCGGTGACTCTTCTCTTGGGTTGACCTTCTCAGATCCTATAACAACAGTCTAATGTTATAATAGATTCAATGGGCAAAACGCCAAACCATTCCTATTTTAATTATATTTAAAACATGAAACGTGCGTCTTTCCATTCGCAAAATGATATTTTAGGGTCATAATTTATTCAAAACGAACGATAGTGGCAAAAATTACACACAGTGGGAATGTAAAATTAAAACAAATGCACACACACATACAAAATGATGAAATATTTGACCTGCAGTCCTAAAATGTGTCCCCAGCGCGTATGGGTACCACCAGGCGGACGCTCTCTCCAAATACTGCGCTGACAGTCCGATCCTCTGCGCGGGCAGCTCAAACCGAGGCAGAGACAAGTCACTGAGCCGAGAGAAGAAGCTGCCTTCAAAAACACCTTTGGACGAGCTGAGTGTGAGCTTTGGCTTCGTGGGTTTGTCTTCAATATTCAGCAGATTCTTAATGGAGAACGGCGAGTCCTTCGCGGGTTGGCGAGTCTCTTCAGGTTCTGCCATCACCTTTCACTGTCCGATGATCATCCAGTCAAGATAAACTTATGAGGTAAGAGCACCTAAAACAGATTAGGTTCTGGAATAAGTTATGAAAAGAGAAGAAAATCCCAGTGTGCGTAAAAGCGCTCCGATCCGTGCGTCAAACTTGCTGTGGATTGGTGCAACAGAAATGTTGTCCGAGTTAACGCGCGCTCGGTCTCTGCTGTTGCGCAGGTACAAAAGCAAATGGGATTGGAGAGGAAAGCTGTGAGGGGTCGTGACGAGAACAGTCTCCAAAAGAAGAACGAGGCCGCGCAAGCGTTTTGGCTCTGAGCTCCGCGGCAACGCACCCAATTATCGTCCAATTAGACTGAAGAGGAGAACGTCCCTTTTTATCAAGAGAGAGAGAGAGAGAGGGGGCGAGGTGGGCGTGCACAAGCCACCATCACCTGTCATTAAATTTAATAAATGGTTCAGAGATTATCACACAAATGCGACTCCAAGTATGCAAATTACGCACATATTTTACGCACGAATTTAAAGCCAAACTCTTTTAATAAAAAGTCTCATTTTTTTAGCTCAAGAAATATAGTCATGAATCGATCCAATAAATTTGAACTGAATCAGCTCGGATGGAGCCTGTGATTTATCTGCTCTGCCTTCAATAGAACAGGGATGTATTTACCTGCACCGAACCTCACTGACTGTATAACTTTATTAGCCAGGAAGTGCTTTGGGCAAAGCACAAATTGAATGTTTCCCATCATGTTAAAAAGCCTTTCAGATCAGCTTTGTACAAAAAAAAAAAAAACACAGAACCAGCAGGTGATGTACTGGTGGGATGAAATCAGTCTTGTTACTGTCAAATATATGGTTAGATGAAGCAGATTGTATTTGTGTGTGTAATTAGCAGGTTTAGTTAAATTAGCTGATAAATTCCATTAGATACAAAAGGAGAAAGTTGATTTTTCCCTGATAAGCTTAACTTAAATCAAAGAAATGTGCTCTACGTTTTCATTAAGCCAATAGACGTGTCCTTTTTCTGATGGTGTTTAATAGGTGAAACATGAAAATAAACAATATTCAGTAATATTCCTTTTACAATAATCATTTAAACCCAAGCTGAAGCAGATGCAGAGAACTAATCAAACGGATTGAATTTGTTCAACCTACAAGCACACAGCCATGTCCTTTCAGCTCATCAAGCCCTCTCCAAAGCTAAAGGACAACACTGTGTTTTTGTGTAAAGCTACTTGAATCCTTGCATAATTAGAGGTCTCATAGCAATGTTAAAAATGGGGACGGGGAAAGAGATTAACTGAGCTGTATTTAGACAAAGTGAGGAAAAAAAACAAGTGTTTTCAGTTGATTATGCAAATTAAACCAAGTGAAAGTGGATCAGCAGCAGAAAACAACGCTGCAACAGCAAACCTGGGTGACTTATTAATTCCGAGTGATTTTAGAAACACCTTGGAAGTTAGTTGTATAGGACCACAAAATGCCAATTTCATATACAACTATAAAGCAGAGTGCTAAAATCTGGGATTAAACCTTTGCTTCAACAAGTTTTGAATTATTTTATGATGTAAAAGTGTTAAGAGAGTGGTTGCTTTTTGCAGGATGTGTATAAATCACCCCATTGTCTTGATTCAAAAGCAGAAAATATTGACACAATTAAGTTTTGTAGTGAAGGCTTGATTACAAGAGCAACTTTGATTTGACATCAGGTTAAACGCTTACATTTTTTGCAGTCTATGTAGTTCTGTTACTAATAAACTTGTGCTTATACCCTATATTTGTCAGATTTCCTATTATAGCAGGTCAGAGGTCATAAAGGAAGAGGGTAAGCTTTGCAAAGTAAAGTTAATCCATATGATATATGAATAGATATTTCCTCGAAGGAAATTGAGTGCATCCGTTATTAAATTTAAAGACTGCAAACATTTAATTTCTTAATAAACAATATAGAGTACAATAATTGTTTAAGCATGCGTCTTTTCTTGTCAAGCAATTTTTTTAAATAGTCATCATGCATCTGGGTCTGTTAGCTCATCATTTAGACAATAGATCTGATTTTACACAGCTCCACTAAAACTGTGGAAACTTCATTAGCCTCAACTATAAAACTATCAATGAGTGAATTATGCAAGGCGGGCTCTTTTCAGCGTAATTAGATTAATATCAAATATCATTAGAGGTGTCAGGCTGTTAAAGACGTGATAATTGCCTGTTCATTGAGGCGCTGCAGTTACTCAGGACAGTGCTGCCATCTAGTGGTGCAGATTGGTATTAACCTGTAAAAGTACCAAAGTGGATGCAAAAACTGACATGTATTAAAAAGTATTCTTTATTTGTTGTTATGTGAAATCAGTCAATGTATAGTATACAGCAAGGGGTGGACTGTTACAATACACATGGTAGCATATCCTGCAATAACATGTCATAAATTTGTCATTATTAGCAAATATTCAGAAGGCACCGGATCACTCGCAGACTATCCTAGTTCAAATCTTTAACACACCATTTTCCATACTGCAACATAAAAATCAGTGATTTATACGTAACGGATCACCAGATGAACATGAATTCACAACAAATGTGGAAGGTATGATGCAGCAAAGGCAATTTCTACAAACTTTTGAACAGGTAAAGAACAGAACTACACATACCAGGGCAACTTCAGCTCAACTACTTAACAAAACCACAAAACTCTGAGGAGAAAAAAAAAAGAAAAGAAAGAGATTTATTTGCTCATGGTTGGATGATTTCAGTGGTCGTACTCCTTATCAATGAACTTGGCCATAGTGGATAGCTGAATATTTGTCGTGCCCTCATAAATGGTTCCTGCATGAGAGAACAAAAAAGCATCAGAATAAATTTCCAGTGGACAAAACAAAGTCCGTACTGTAATACAAGTCCAAAGATTTGACTTCAAGGAGACAAAGGGAGTTTGTTATGATGCTCAAGCTCCCTGAGGTGAAAGCAAAAGTGATATTTTACGGTGGCAGCTTCCTCGGCTGTATGTGCGTTGTCATAATGACACCGAGCAGCCACAAAGGGACATTCCTACAGAGTCTGATTACAGCCACTGCAGTCCCACCCCGCTCTGGTCCAATCACAAACAGCTACACCTGAACTTCCTGCAATTGTGTCTGTGAGTGCAGTTTCTCCTACGGCGCCGTAACTTGCATGTCGTGATGTCATTATAAAATAATTCTCACCGATTTTGCAGTCTCTGTAGTATTTCTCTATGGGGTAGTCTTTAGTGAAGCCCACTCCTCCCATCCATTCGATACATTTAGATGTGGTCAGGGTTGCAACCTGATGAGACACATACAACACACTGATGCCATACATAATTTTTAATACACATCCCTGGTAAATAAAGTGTACTTCTAAAGCAGCAGTTACTAAGAAACCGCAAAAGAAATCTTATAACAGACCTATAGGTTAACAAATTCAAGGACGAGCGTTTTTTTTGTTGTTGAAGAAATTCACAACCAACTTTCATTCCAGAGATTTAGTCTAAGATCAATTTTGGTTGAAAAATCTTGCAGTTGTAATCATTTGGGTTAAACCTTGCAAATAGCATGCACAATCATACAGCAAGGTGTCAAGCTTAGAGCACATGTTGTGAAGGACTCGGCTACTAGTAGCTCAAACTTTAGCTCAGTATCTGAAAGATGACCGAGTTACAGTCATTTTGCTGGTTTATGTGGGTTGTGGCAGTCAGCTGGGCTTAGGTTGACTCCAAAAGTTATTTGGTTGTAGATGGACATCAAATGATTCCTTCCTAAAAGTGTCATGAAAATCCACTAAGTGGTTTGAGATATTTTGCTAACAGAGAAACAGGGTTGAATCCAAACAGTAAAGTTTGATGTAAATATTTCAAACAATGGAGTACGTGATGGGAACAGCTCAGCTACAACCTCACCAAACAGTAACGAATTGAATTTGAGTTCTTTTTATATTTTTTAAGGTTTATTTGGCTGTGGCAGCCATTTTGAATTGCGCCGACACACACACAGGGGCAAAGCTTTATCTTTCACCTTCACGTTTTGGCAACAGATGGTAATTATGAAAAGACGACGAGAAGAAACTAAAAGTGCATGTATAAAATTGAAAAAGCCTTGTTTTAAACTATGAAAATACAGAAACACGTTCATGTTAAAGACTCAAAAAACCCACCTCAGATGAGAAGTATTTAGCCATGCAGGCCTCCTTAATGAACGGTCTGCCAGCTTCCTTCAGGCGAGCAGCGTTGTACGTCAGCAGTCGTGCCGCTTCAATCTGTGTCGCTACGTGGGCGATTTGATGCTGCATGCCCTACAAGAACAGAAATAGTGCCAAAACAAGTCACTGAACATAAATCTGACCTCACAAATTAAGCACATATATAATTAAAGTATTTAGCAGATAGTTTGTTGAGGATCAGAACCTGAAAGTCAAATATACGTTTTCCAAACTGCATCCTCTGCCTGGTGTAAGGAACGGTGTGGTCAAAGCAACCTTGTGCCAGTCCAATCATCTGCAACACAGTGACGGTTTTTATTCACAACGTGATGAAGTTATTTAAACAAAAATGTGCCACTGCATACCTGTGCTGCAATTCCAATCCTGCCCTCGTTCAGCATACCGATGGCATACTTGTATCCATGACCGACTTCTCCTAAAATGTTTTTCTCTGGTACCTACAGAAAGCAGAAAGTTGGTCACTGTGAAAATGCAGTGCGAATGCTTATTGCTGAAGAACTTGCTGAAAAACAGCTGAAATTACCAGTAGCTAAAAACATGCTGAAATGTAGCTGAAATGAAGAACGAGCCTAAGCTAGCAGAAGAAAGCATAAAGAACACATATTTGCTGAATGTGGTTTAAATACGCAGACATTTGCATAAAAAATGAGTAAATTAGCTAAAAAAGCTGAAATCAGCAAAAAAAAAAGGCTGAAAAGTAGCCGAAAAGGCAGGAAGAAGCTTAAATTACCAGAAGAAAGTGGAGAGAGCACAACTGTGCTCAATTAGGCTGAAAGAAGCAGAAATGAGCACAAAAAGTGTAATGTATCTGAAAAAAGATTAAAGTAGCGAAAAGACAGCTGAAGAGTAGCTAAAACAGCAGAACTTAAATTTAAAAGAAAGAAGTGGAAAGAGCATATTTTTGCTAAATTAGGCTGAAAAAAAGTTGAAATGAGTGCCAAATATGTGGAATTAGATGAAAATGCTAACGTTAGCATAAAACAGCAAAAAAAGTAGCTGAAATGGCAGAAAAAGCTGAAACTTGCAGAAATAAGCTGAAAGGAGCATAACAAGCTGAATTTGCCATAAAGATGTTAGAAGAAGCACAAAAGTGTTGTAGTTAGCAGAAAGAACCTGAAAGGAGCACAAAACTGTTGGAAAAAAACAGAAGCAGCTGAAAGTAGATGAAAAAAATTTTAAATCTGCACAAAGAAGCTGAAAGAAGCTGAACTGGAACAAAATGTGAAAGGAGCAGTAAAAAGGTTGTAAACAGATCTAAAGAGTTGGAGGATGTAAAATGAGCTCAATTCATTTTCTATGAGGGAAAAAAAATGGCAGAAAAGGCTAAATATTTCAAAAAGCTGAAGTTGCACCAACAACAAAAGTCACAGCAGCCTTCTCCTGAACGAGCTGAACATTATGATTTGTTGAAACAGCACAAAAATTGTGGCACGAGAAAGATGCCGAAAAACGTACAGAAGAAAAATGGATCACAATAGTGTGAACGCTTCATAAACATTCACACATTAAATCACAATATGGCTGACATCCGGCCAGTGCAGCTACGAGTGTCTGCTTTCACCTTGAGGTTGTCAAAGTTGATGGGGCAGGTGGAGGATGCGCGTAGTCCAAGCTTGTTCTCCTTCTTGCAAATCTCAAGTCCCTCGGTATCCCGGTCCACAATGAAGCAGGTAATGCCTCTGTATCCCTGACAAACAAAAGAGGGAGAACATCGTTAGGATTCAGAATTGGTGAGCACCAAACAAACAATATGGATGACGAATGTTACTCACGGCAGAAGGATCCACGTTCGCCATGACGAGGAAAACTCCTGCATGCTCTGCGTTACTGATCCACATCTTGGATCCGTTGATTATGTAATAGTCCTTGTGTTTTGCAGCGCGCGTCCTCAGAGAAAATGCATCACTCCCCGACTCTGCTTCAGAGAGGCAGAAGCTCCCACACTGTCACAACAAGTAGGAAAGGGTTAAGGTCAATTTAGTGCAACAGATAAAACTAGAAGCTATTTATACATGAGTGGTGCTGACTTCATCTTCAGAAGCAGTAAGAAACTTCCAAAAAGTTGCTAAGGAAAATGTAAACAAAAATTAATTAATTAATTAAAAACAATGGCTTGTGAATAAATGAAGCCTTATATTTATTAGCAAACTTGTACAGAGGTAAAATATTGGCTGGTGTTTAATTATTTCAATGACTGTTCTTAAATAAATGGTTTGTTTATGACACTTTCTTAACATAACAAAAAAGGCTTTCCAGCAGCTAAAAGTAGCTAAAGTATAGCTAAAAGTAGCAAAGGTTGAGGTAAAATCTAAAGTAGCAAAATTGTAGCTAAAACTAGAGGTTGAAAAATACTATTTAAAAGTTGCAAAATGTGGCAAAGGGGTAATTAAATTAATAAATGGCTAGCAAACAGCTAAAAATGACAACAAGCTGGCTAAAAGCTAAAAGTAGTATGCTAAAAACTGATTTCAAAGACAGTTAAAATGTCAATCGGCTAACCGTGTCGGTTGATAGTCGGTTCAGGTACTTCTCTTTCTGAGCTGCGGTACCAAGTTTAGTAATCAGCACGTTGATGAGCGTGTTTTGGATGTCAACGAGCACCGCCACCGAGGGATCCACCTTCGCCAGCTCCTCAATCACCAGGATGGAGGAGAAAAACGAGGAGCCGGTGCCACCATACTCTGGGTCAATTTCAATTCCCATGAGCTTAAAAAAAAAAAGGAAGAATTATATATTTAAAAAAAAATCCACAGTTTTATTTAAATGCAGGTGTTCACAGAGATTTAAAGGAATGACATACTCCCTGCTCAAAGAGAGATTTAATGACTTCTTCATCCATGGCAGAGTCTTCATCCATCTTTGACACAAGGGGGGCGATGCGCTCCTGTGCATATTTCTTCACTGACAACAAACATCAGAAACATTAATGTGACAGAAAGTTCTGTCTGCAGCTGCATGGCTTCAGGTTCCTGCTCACCTGCTTCCCTCATCATGCTCTCCTCCTCTGAATAGGTCTGAAGGGGAGGAAAGGAAGAAAGTCCAGCAGCCTGGTGGGACTCCACAGCTGGGGCAGAGGTGGTCCTGCTCCTGGCTCCAGACTGGCAAGTCTTCCATGATGCTCGAGGGACCGGTGTAAGGTACTGGACACCAGTAAGAGGAGTGAAAGTCGTATGGATTCAGGACAGATACTTACTCAGAGCTTGGCTAGGTCGTCTAATGATAACAAATGTGTTAATCCAAATCAAACAAGTTAGTGCTAGCACACGTTAGCGTAACGTCACGTTGGGAAGAGTAAGCACGGTGAGCAGACAAAAGAGGGCACGTTAAAAGGCAACATGCTGGTTGTTCATAGGAAAACACGTAACATGACAGTATCAAAGTCTACAGTATGTAGTCTCACCTTTGACACAGTCCTGACCAACAGCGCAGCCATGGTTTATTATGAAATGACTATGCGACTCTAAGTTGCCAGATAAAAAATGACGAACTTTCCCTTCAAAACGAATTTGGATGAACGTTAAGCGCGCAGGGATGGGCCTAATCGTTTTCCTTTTGACAATATACATTTGTTCACGTGAATAAAAATAATTTTTTTTAACTGGTGTACGGAAATTCTTAAATTATTGCATTTTGGAGCTTTTTCAAAAGCTATCGAAGACCCTAACGCTATCGTATAAATACATAATAGTCGTAGATCTGGCAACGCTGTGCTCCCTTCAAATAAACTTGGAAATTGTACTACATTCAAAGGCGTAAAATTCTTGTTGTAAATATATGAACATTGAAACATATGCTGATTGACTAAAATAAACAAATATATCGGATTAAAAATGAAACGTTAGCAATGGGGAACAGGTTAAAAGCTATTAAATAGAAAATTGACTTATATTTTATAACGTTCATTTTTCCGACGGTATACAAAAGCAACAGTTACGTTTGCGTGAAGACGGAAGCTTAGCGCTGTACACAAGGTGACGGTTGGGTTGTACATAGAAAAAAAAGATTAGCCTTATTTATACATTGTTTCGACATAAATTTGAATTTGATTTAACGCTGGAAAGGAACAATGCTAACCTACGTTTTAACCACGAGTTTTAAAGAAATAAAATACGACATGTATCTAACAAACGTTAGCACTGTTGCTACTAGCGATCCATAAAGCGTTAAGAGCTAGCTTAACAGCTGGTTGGCTGCTGTGACACGTAGCAGCATCATATTCGGATGTTTTCGTGTTTAACTGAGCATAAATAAAATGGAAGAGATAAAGAGCGAGCCTGTGGATTTTGTGAGGGAATTTCAGGAATACTTGACCCAGCAAACCCAGCATGTCAACATGATCTCGGGCTCTGTTTGTGGAGAAAAGGAGACAACGGAGCAGTTTCATGCTGGTGAGAACAACACTGCAGCACAAAAGTCTTAGTTGAATACGATTTCAGATAATTCACTGATTCTGTGTGCGTTTCTAGTTGTCCCAAGATGTGAGCAGAATGGTCTGGATCCCCCTTCTGTGGAGGTGAGCCTGCCTGTGGAAGATGGGTCAGATGTGCAGATGATGGACGACCTGGAAAGGACCTGCGATGGAAAATACAAATGCAGCTACTGTAGCTATGCCAATAAAGGCATGGCTCGTCTAATAGAGCACACCCGCATCCACACAGGTATGATACCAGAGGCTCATGTAATGAAGTCATTTGCTGTACATCAGCTACATTACATGCATCACACAAAGTTCAAGCCCAATTTCCAAAAATTTGGGACTTTTTGTAAATAAAAAACTGAATATAGTAGTTCAGAAATCTCACAAACCCATATTTTGTTGAAACCTGAAATATGTACTTTTTAAAATAAAATAATCTTTACTTACGACATCAACACATCTCAAAAAAGCTGGGGCAGGATCACGTTTACCAGTGCAAAGCATCCCCCTCTTCTTTTAACAACCATTGACCTTTTCTGTAAACTGAGACCAGTTTTGAGTTTTTTTGGGGCAAAATGTTGTCCCATACTTGTCTGATGTAGGATTCTAACTGTTCAGCAGTCCCGGGTCTTCTTTGCTGGACTGGAGTATATGTTCTAAAACCTGTACAAACATTTATGCATTGATGATGCCTTTCCAGATGTGTAAGCTACACATGTCAGAGAAGCAGACTTTTAAGTGATGACAGCAGGCTGGATGGTCCCTCTGTTAGTATTGTGGAGACGGTGTTTGTGTTTCCCCCCAAATAATTTGAAATTAAGATTCGTCTGACCACGAACATTTTTTCACCTGCAGTGAAACAGAGAAGTTGACAGCATTGCTGTACGATTTTCACATATGGCTTATTCTTTGCATGATAGAGCTTTACCCTGCATTTGTGGCTGACATGGCAGACAATGATTTTTGGAAGTGTTACTGAGCACAAGCAGTGATTTCCAGAACAGAATAAGATTTGTTTTTAACGCAGCACCGCTTTAGGGATCATGGCCTTGTCATTGACCTTTGGCCATGTCTCTTGCACAGGTTTTTCCAGATTCTTAAAATCTTTTCTCTTCAAAATGCTTTTTTTTATATATATACTTAATCCTCTTATAGACCTGTTGCAAAATTTTCATCCAGCTGTTTCATATTCATACCACCTACTTCTATAACCTTTTGTTGCCACTCTCCCAACCTTTAAAAAAATGCATTACTGTCATGAAATTGAAACAAAAACATATTTTTTACATTGCACATTTTTTTTTAGTTAAAACATTTGACGTGTACCATGCTTCATTGTAAATAAAATATAAGGTTTTTGAGAATTGCAACACATCACATTCAGTTTGAATTTATCATTTACATTAGGGCTTCACGATATTATTGACATGGTATCGGCCGATATTAGCGATCAAGTTAAATATCGGACATTCCGTCAAAATAACTCACCGGTATAAAAGGCGCCGTTATAACTATAGAACGGTCAACTGCAGAGAAACAAAACCTCACCAGCAGAGAGTAAATGTCATGAATACATTTGACATTAACATAATTTAAGTTGAAGTGTTACATCATTTTCAGCCCCCTTTTTATCATCTGCATTTGGTAGCAGATCAAACTGACCAAGACCATGCAGAATAATGTATTTTAATTCACAGCAGAAAAAGCTTTGTAGTGTCTGTAAGTAGGTCTAGGAAAAAAAAAAAAAAATAGTATTGGTATCAGTTATCGGACAAATAAATTTTAACATATTGGCATATCGGACATCGGCCAAAAATCCAATATCGTGCATCTCTACTTTACACATCTCAACTTTTTCCCCATGTGGAGTTATTGTCATCATGTCTGTTCATCCTTTCACAAAAGCATGCTTGGTAGAATCAAATACAACTATATTACAATAATACTAATACTACACGTTTCTTCACCAGGTGAAAAACCTCATCGCTGCCAGCTTTGCCCATTTGCGTCTGCATATGAGCGCCACTTGGAAGCCCACATGCGCTCGCACACAGGAGAGAAGCCATACAAGTGTGACCTCTGCGCGTTCCGATGCAGCGACCGCAGCAACTTGTCCCACCACCGCCGCCGTCGCCACAAGCTTCTTCCCACGAGGGTGGTCCGGCCTCCCTTCTCTAACAAGAGAATGCTGAGCGCTTTGCAGAAGAGGACAGGCTCGCTGGGCTTCGGTCGACGGCTCCTGATCAACATCAGTCCTCCCTCCTTGGTGTCGCCAAGGTCTGAATATATGAATGACCTCTCTAACAAGATCCACCACTTGAATAGCGAGTATAAAAATCCTCCCAAAGTGGATGAGATTGAAAACCACAGCCAGAGTGCTAATGGTTTTAGAAACTCACTGGACCAGCTGTCTGCACTGGCTGGACAGCTGGGCAGCCTTCACTCTGAACCGGAGGCTCCTGCGTCACCTGACAGAGAGTCCGTAAAAGACGAGAAGCCAATCCTGATACAACACGTCTCCAGTGAACAGGTTGCAGTGTGCTCAAATGCATTTCAGACATCGCCACCAAAAAACGAGTCTCCCACTTCAGTTCACGAAAGCGGCAGTCCCGTTCCTGCATTTAGTTTGGAGAACAACACGAACACTTTTACTGGAAGCGTTAGCAACAGCCAGGCGAGCACACCCACCCTGGCCCCGACTGCACCAGACCAACAGCTCCTACAGAAATGTCAGCATTGCGATATTCACTTTTCCGATAATATACTTTTTACTATCCACATGGGTTGCCATGGTTTTGAACATCCGTTCCAGTGCAACATCTGTGGTCATATGTGCATAGATAAATACAATTTTGCTTGTCATTTTGCCCGTGGACAACATAAAAAGTGACAATGTGCACTTTTAGTTTCAGACTTGTGTTCAGCTCCCTCATTAAAGTGGATGTTCTTTGCTGGTTATTATATTAATAAATATCCAAGGACTGTTAGGGAAATATTTATTTTAAACTATTAAAGGCTGATTTCTCTGAGCTTGGCTTATAGACGCACAATCTGTAGTTTTAATCAGTTTGGTCTGGTTACTGACACTTTTTAAACACAACGAGAACTACAAAAAACTTCTTTAGCAGCAAATGATTCACTTCATGCATTTTTATCCATTGGTTTGTTTTGCCGTTAGAAAATCATAGGTAATTATCTGTGTTTATATACGTTTATTAATCTGTCTGTTAGCAAAATATCTAGTTTTGAGTAAAACTCCCTAAAGTAATCACTGGATCTACATTTATAATTGATTACATTTTGGTATTAACACAATATTCAAGATGGCCTCCACCAGCTAATTGGTCTTAGCCAACAGAAATGTCAACAGTTCAATTATATATTTATTGATATGAAATTTTGTGTGGTAGTAGCTGAGCATTATCTCCAAAACGCACTTCAGGCACTAACATTTTTACGATTCTCACCCACACTGTACCATTAAAATTACGTTAAAAGCTTTTCATCCATTTTTCTTTAATTTGTTGTGTTCAGTTTAACTTTGTTCAGAACACAGTTTGCAACATCTCCCTGTCAATCATCTATTTTCTGTAGCTGCTTTTCTTTCTGGATGGTGGGGGAGCAGGTGCCTGTCTCCAGCAGTCACTGTGCAAGATGCGGGACAGTCCATCACAGACACTTAAAACACCCATACACTAATGCACCTTGGTGTGTGCAGGATGTCTTTGTGATTTAATATTTAAAAAAATCATTTTAGCCACCTACTGCTTGGAATCAGACGCTAAAACAAAATAAGAATAATTTTCACACGGTTATGTCGGGTAACTGTTCAAGAGAAGTTGTACATGATTAGAAAGTGATAATAAAAATTGTTGGCAATTTTTTGTTTTTGCAGATGTGACATAGACGCTTAGAACGAATTTTAATGATGTGCTTTTTTTTTCTTTCTAAACCTTTATTTAATAAATTAAGAGAACTACCGTTTGTTTCACACATTTGTGTAACACAGTCTACAAACTCCAGATATGTTTGGCAAAATTATTATATGAAAAAAAAACAACCATTTAATCTTAGATGTGATTTTTAATTGGCAACGTCAAAAGTAAAAAATGGCTCATTTTACAGACTTTGAACTAAAAAGTGTGGTAGTAGCTGAGCATGGTCTCCAACCCATACTTCCAGTTGCGTGACATTGTTGCTTCAAACCTTGGCATTGCCTGTGAAGTCAACCCTGTTTGTTAGCAAAATATATCCTAAACTACTAGATGGATTTGCATGAAACGTTCAGAAAGTAAATATCGGCAGTACATTTACAACTGATTGGTTTCAGCTTAAACCAAGATGGCCACTGCAGCTAATCGACCTCATTCTACACTTAAATGGCTACACCTCAGTGAATTCATCAGATACTGAGCCATGGTCATAACACATACTCAAAGTGCAAACAAATAACGCAAGATATTGCACAAAATTGCGCCCAACATAACTAAAAGTTGGAACAAAGCAGCTACAACTCTGTCATTTCTCAATATAAAATGATCGTGGACTACAATTCTGAATTATGAAACTAAGCAGGCCGTATGCAGTCTTTAAGTTTTTAAATGTTTTGCTTTGTAAACCTTCAAGTCAATCACTGTGATTTATAAATCTTGACAAAATGTCCTCCTTTTGGTCATCAAAAATGCTTCCCACTGCTCGTTCCACCACCCGCTCCACATCGACGTCCTCCTGAATGAACGGAACCTCCTGAAGGAGCTGTTTCCGAAGGTTGTGAAGGAACGTCGCTTTAGACTCGTTCAGCTGAGCAGCCAAGAGCCGCATGCGCTCAGAAGGAACATGATTATCTAAAATAAAGACTGAAAGTCATAATTGTAATAGGCGAGTGAAATAAAGGGTGTTTGTGGAGCTGACTGACCTCTGGCAGTCTTCATGGCTTCAGATATGAGGCGTCGACAAGCCCGATCAGCCTGGTGGACCACACTCGTGGCACATGTAAGACGATCAGCCTCCTGGAACATGTATGACACAAAATGCAAGAAAGTATTCACTTCCACTATGGAGGGTGGAATGTGACGAAATCATATAAATACATAATAAGTAAATGTTTCATTGAATTCTTAAATACATCTTTAAATATACAATTAAATTATTAAATACACATTTAATTAAATGTCCCATGAAATGAATAAATTTTACATTATTTCATGATATATTTATTTAATTTTGTCACATTCTATCCTCCAGTGTCGTCATGAAATTATAGTGTCATCCTCACCCATCAAACTCAGTGGGCGGGACTAATGCTGATCATGTGACATCCATTGCTTTGGTCTGAAGTCAGTTCAAATATGGCAGCTCCCTCCATGCAGGACCTCAATTTGCTTTCTTGTGAACTGGTTGGAGATATTTTAAACCAAGCAACGGATATAGAAGCTGGAGCTTCTCCCCCAGAGTTTGTGGTAAATAAATTGGAACAGTTTATTGAAGTTACTGGAGTTATTTCTGCACTTTCCAACTTCTCGTAAAAGCGCGTCTTCTTTACATTCATGGTATGAAAAAAGGTTTCACCCAAATACATATATTTTCAGAATATATATATTTTCAAAAAATATATATAAAAATATATATATTTTCAGAATATATTTTCTGGCCTGTGGATCAATGTATTATCTGTGGTCGATTTGTCTTCATTTGTTGTGTGGAGCAGCCAATCAGGTGTCAGGGTCTGTTCATGAGCCGTCTTAGTCCCGCCCACTGAGTTTGACGGGTGACGCTGACAGTTATAATTTCATGATGACACTGGAGGGAGGAATGTGACAAAATTAAATAATTTAAAAGGTACATTTATTTATTTCATGGGATATTTAATTAATTAATGATTTAATAATTTAATTGAATATTTATCATGATATATCATGATTTAATGATGTATTTAATAATTAAATGATGCATTTAATTATGTATTTATTTATTTAATTTAGTCACATTCCATCCATATTCCACAACAGCACATTTCATTTGTATTGTGTTGGCGATTAGCGCTACCTGTTGTTCAGTGTTCTCTTCCACCGGGCTCAGAGGATTATTTAGAGATGAACAGATCAACTCCATCACTTTCCGGCTGATGACAAAACCACACAAGAAGAAAAACAAAAGATAAGCATTTAAAACTAATTATCAGCTGTTATTAAGGGTTTACTCTGCAGTTTTACATGTCACATTTGGAGCTGCTGTCTGATGTGTTGAGCGAGATGCTTTGCATTTCCCACAAGTTCTTTTGTGGATTTGGAGACTCCAAACGCTTCTCCATCTCCCGTATCACTTCAGTGGGAATAGGCTTAGACCGGCTGTGGTTTCTGCTGATGCAGGACTCTAAATCGCACTGTAGATACACCTGACAAAAGCCCAGAGAACCTGCACGAATAGATAATAACTTTAAACCTCAATTTTAACAAAATAAATAGGATCAGAGGCATTGGTGGACAAAATGACCTTACACTTTCTTGCAAGTTGATACACTTCATATCTCATGCTCGGATAGAAGAAGTTGTCATCTAGTAGAAAGAGAAGCGGAGTCCCATCAGACATCAACATTTCAGGCTGCAGCATTGCTTCAGTACATTGTTCCCAAGCTGCGCTGTTTATCAGTGAGCTGCTCTGTAACGTTGTTACCCCCTCGGACCTCTCCACGAACTGCCCAATGCTACGCAGCACTGCTTGTCTGTGGGACTTCCAGTTAGTGTGCTGGAAATAGAAATCAGATCCAATATTAATAAATCAGCTCAATATTCAAAGGGGTTTTAAAGCTTCCTACTAATATGTGCAAAAATATATATATTTTTTTGTTTCTTGGTGGTCAAGAATTGGGTGTATTTATTAGTAACAAAAGGAAAACCTACAGTAATCCACTGAAAGTGTCCCTGTTGTCAAACTTGTCTCTTTTTTTGTCATCAAACTAAAATATTTGGCACAAAACCCCAAAATGCGTGAAGTCTTTTCAGTCATTTGAGATGGCAACAAGTCTGCACATCAGTGGTAAGTTAAGTTTATGCTCGTTCGGTGCAGTCAGAACATCAAGACTGCTGAGAAGATGTTGACAACACTGCAGCGACTCAAGCTACCCACCCTGACAGCTGTTGGGATCTTAACACCTGAAGTGGGAGTCTAATATTAACTTCATCGCAAAAGGCAAAGCAGTGGATGTACCAGCAAAATGCACCGTTTGAAGAAGGATGGCTAATAAATAATATTCTAATATTTAAATTCTTGGCAGGGTTAGGATAGCCAAGACTTTTGGGACGCCACAGCACTGAAGTCCAGTGAAGGTACATTTATTAAAGCAGGAACACAATGATTCTA